CAGGAACAGCCCCACTCCCGACCCCACGCCGGGCCCTTCCTCTGCAGAGTCCTTCCCTGGGCCTCCCCCAGGGTGCAGCTGGCCAGACCACAGGTGTCCGGGCCCTCAGGACGGTCAAGCTCCCCGGGCCGGCAGCTCGCCTCATCCTGCCAGTGGTATGAGAAGTGGGTACGGTTTCAGGACAGCTGGGAGTGGTGCTCCTGCAGTGTCCCCTCCACCCAGACCTGACTGTCCTGCTGGCCCTCATGGGCACTTGGCACTGCTCACGGCCCCGGCAGAGACACCAGGGCTCTGCCGCAGGTCCTCCCGAGCGACCTGTACCTCTTCCTCTGGTCCGGGACTCCCTCAGTGCGTCTCCTGATTACCTCTCGTCCTTCCCTTTCCTCTCACACGACAGACCCCGTGCTGGTCGCCCCGTGCTCAGACCACAGCCGGCACCGCGCCCTCATTTCATAGCTGAGGAGACAGACGTGTGGGTGTAGGTCCCTGGTCCAAGGCCCCAGGAAGTCACCGGGGAGGAGTGGGCTCCACGTGGTGTCAGCACCTGGAGCCTGAGCTCCCCATCATCACCAGGCTGCTGCAGAGACGTTTGGGGGGCAGACCCCCCTCTTGTGATTTAGCAGCAGCTTTGGGGTGAATGTGGACCCAGGATGGCACTTGGTTTCCGTCTCTGTGGGGGTTAAAGGAAGCCACTCTGTGAACCTCCTTTATTTGAATTGGGCCCCCCACCCCACCCCCACCTCCACCCCCAGCCACATCAATGTTCTACTTCTGTGTCCTGGTTCCTAAATGTTCAGCCTTGGCAACACTGGCTTCAGGTTTGAGCACATTTCGGGCCAAGGTGCGGGGGTCCAGGCCCTCACTCCCCTGCCACGGTCATCTCTGGGGGCCCATGTGGCCTCTTTCCTCAGGGAGGGGCAGGGGCATGAATGGAAATCAGCCAACATACACCTTGGCTGTAGCCCAGCGGCTCTGGTCAGAGACAGAGGGGTTGGCTTTATTTACTGAAGGAACTTCTCCTGAGAAGGTAAGGTTTCCCTGAGGACGTCAGGGCCATGGGGCTCGTAAGAAAAACAGGACTTGACAGTAATGTGTACAGAGAGCAGGGCTCCTGCCATCAGGATTCCCACAGAGATGACCCCCACTGGGCGTCTGTCTCCTTGAGGGCAGGACTGTGTTTTGCTCATCTTGGGACCCTCAGCAGGTCCTTGGAGATGAGCAGGACCTGGATCTCAGGTGGAGTCCCCTGGTGATGGACCCAAGTTATAGTCATAGACCATCCTTTCCCC